CACCTCACCCTGACTGACTAAAAGATGAAGGATAAATCTTTTCTAGTGAAGCCTCTACAGTTCTTTTACATGTAGTGTCTAAGATACAATGAAAAATTACTAGACATGTAAAGAGGCAAGTGAATGTGAACAATAATCAAAAGGAAAATACAAATCATAAAAATAGACCCAATAATGATCCAGAAAGTTAGCATATGTGACTTCAGAATAACTGTGATTAGTAAGTTTTTAAAAAAGAAGAAAATGATGAGCAAAAATGAATGAGGATGTGGAAAATTCCAGCAGAGAATTTTGATCTGTAAATAAGCAAATGGCATTCTAGAAATAAAATTATCACTTATGAAATTAGAAGTATATTGGATGGGTTTAACAGAAAATTGGTTCCAGCTGAAGACAGGATTACTGAATTGAAAGACAAGTTAACAGACAATATCCAAACTGAAACTCAGAAAGAAAAATAATGGGGAAAGAAATAAATAACTGAGAATCATAGACATGTGGGACACAATACAAAGGTTTAACATACATGTATTAATAATTGGAGTCCCAGAAAGAGAGAAGACATAAAATGGTGCAGAAGCAATATTGGAAGAGAAAATAAATCAAAATTTCCAAAATTGATAAAAGAAATGAATCCACATATTTAAGAAGTGCTGAACTATGAATGATATAAATACAAAGAAAACCACACACCTGGACATATCACAACCAAATTCCTAAAAAACAAAGACAAAGCCACAATATGAAAAGCAGCTAAAGAAAAAAAACATTAAGGAAGCTAGAAATAATAAAATGGTTTCTTTTGTGTCCTAAAAGAAAGAAAGGGGAAAAAATACCTTGTCAACCTGAAATTATACACCAGTGAAATTGTATCATCAAAATAGAGGCAAAATTATGAGATTTTCAGACAAACAAAAGCTGAAAGAATTAATTTGCCAACAAATTTAATTACAAAAATATTAAAGGGAGTTCTTCTAGTTGAAGGAAAATTATTTCAGAAGGGAATAAGGATTACAGAAATAAAGAGCACTGGAAGGGGTAAATGTCATGGATGCATATTGTTTTCTCTGGAGTAACTGCCAGAAGAATCATACAAAACTATATTACTTAAAAGATAATAGATGAGAAAATATGGAATATTAACAATTACTTGATCAATCCAAAAGAATGCAAGAAAGAAGAAATAATGGAATAAAGACCAGATGGGAAAATAGAAAACAAAAATGTGTTTTTAATGCTGATATATCAGTAAGACTTAACCCTTATTTAACCAACTACAGTTGTCCCTTGGTATATGTGGAGCATTGATTCCAGGACTCTTCACAGATACCAAAATCCACGGATGCTCAGGTTCCACAGTTAGCCCTGAGGAACCTATGGATATGTACAGTTGGCCCTCCACATCCATGGGTTGCACATCCCCCAAATACTGTATTTTTGATCCACAGTTGGTTGAATTTGAGGATGCAGAATCCATAGATATGGAAGGCCAAATGTGTATCAGTAAGTATATCAATAATTATATTAACTTTATATTAAAAATTTTAAGTCCAAAGGATAATTATTATATGAAATATAAACAGACTAAACAACCCAAATAAAAGCAAAGGTTGTCAGGCTGACAAAAAAGCCATCTATTTATTATTTTTTAGGCACACTTTAAATACAATGGCATGGAAAAATGAAAAGTAAAATGATGGAAATAGATATGTAAATTTTAGTTAAAAGCTGATGTAATTATTTTAAGATCAAATTAGACTTTAATGCAAAAAGTATTGTGAGATATAAAAGAACATTTCATAATAATAAGAGTTCAACAAAAAATATAACAATTCTGTAGCTGTAAAGCAAAAATTGACATACTTACCAAAAGAAACATAGTAATCTTCATTCATATTTGGAGATTTTTAACACATCTTTCTTGGTAATTGATAGAAACAAGCATGCAAAAAAAAATTTAGTATAGATATAGCAGATTTTAACATCTTGACCTAATTGATACATATAGAACATTATAGTCAACATTGCAAAATATCTAAAGGTCTGCAAATCTACTGTTGTTTATGTTAAATACACAGGAAGTGTTTCCCAAAATAGATTACATGCTTGGATTTAATGCAAATCTCAGTAAATTTCAAAGGATTGAAACCATAGAGAATGTTTTTTAGTCCCGGTGGAATTAAACTAGAAATCAATAAAAGAGAAATAGAAAACCATCAAACTTTTGCAAATTAAGCACATGAAATTAAATAATCTATAGGTTAAAAAGGAAAATTAGAATATATTTTATGATAAGTCATAATGACATCAAAGCTTATGGGATACAGCTAAAGGAGAACTCAGAGGGAAATTTATACATCTAAATACAAACATTTTAATACAAAAAGAGAAAGATTGAAAATCAGTTTCCTAAGTTTCTACCTCAAGAAGCTAGAAAAAGTTAAGCAAATTAAACTCAAAGAAAGTAAAAGGAAGGAAATAGTAAAGATAAAATCAGAAGTCAATGAATAGGAAGTAGAAGTAACAGAGAGAATAACAAAGCCAGATAGCACAACAAAGTGACTACAATCAACAATAACTTAGGGTATACTTTAAAATAACTAAAAGAGTAGAATTGGAATGTTCCTAACACAAAGAAATGATCAATGCCTGAGGTGATAGATACCCCAATAACCCTGATTTGATTAATTCACATTGTATGCCTGTATCAAAACATCACATGTACCCTGTAAAGATATACAACTATTAGGTACCCATAGTAATTAAAAATTTTGTAAAAGCCTAAAAAAAAGCCAGTCAGTTCTTTGAATAGGTTAATAAAATTGATAAACCTCTAGCAAGACTATATATCTAATATCCAATAAGTCTATGCAAATGTACTCAACATAGTTAGTCCTGAGAAAATAAAAATTAAAACTACAGTGGTTGGGCTGGGTATAGTGGCTCATGCTTGTTATCCCAGCATTTGGTTAGGCTGAAGTATAAAGGAAGACTGCTTGAGGCCAGCAGTTTGAGATGAGCCTGGGCAACATAGTGAGACCCTGTCTCCCCCCAAAATAAAAACATCAGCTGGGTGTGAGTCCCAGCTACTCAGGAGGCTGAGGCAGGAGGATCACTTGAACTCAGGAGTTCAAGGCTGCAGTGAGCTATAATTGTGCCACTGTACTTTAGCCTAGGCAACAGAGTGAGACCTCACTTCTAAAAAACAAAACAAAACAAAACAAAACAAAAATAAAACAACTACAATGACCCAGCATTATCACCTCACCAGAATGGCTAAAATGAAAAGGTCTTGACAATTCAAGTGTTGATAAGGATGTGGAGCAACCAGAGCTCTCATATATTGCTGGTGGGTAGTAAATTCTTACAAAAATTTTGGAAAAATAATCTTTGGCAGTCACTAATACAGCTAATTACAGATGCTTCTTGTCTTATGATAGGGTTATGTCCATATAAACCTATCATATGTTCAAAATGTTAAGTTGAAAATGCATTGAATATACCTAACCTACTAAACATTATAGCTTAGTTTAGTTTACACTGTGGAATATTGGTTGTTTACCCTTGTGATCACATGGCTGATTGGAAGCAACCACTTGCTACTGCTGTCCAGCATTGCAACAGAGTATTATATAACATATCATTTACCTGGGAAAAGATCAAAATTCAAAATCTGAATTATAATTTCTACTGAATGTGTATGGCTTTCACACTATTGTGAAGTCAAAAAATTGTAAGTCATACCATCATAAGTTGGGGCATCTGTATAAATATACCTCATGACCACTCATATTCCATTCCTGAGTATGTAACAAAGGGAAAATGAATGATATAGCCCACCAGAAGAAGCAGTTTTATTTATAATAACCCCAAACTGAAACATATCAAAATTCCAACAATGGTAGTGTTGATAAATAAATTGTGGTACATTATATGATGGATACTACAGGGTGTCCCAAAAAATCATCATACATAGGGAAAATGGGAAATTGTAGCTAAATGTACCTTATTTACAAAATATTTGTTACAAAATTTTTCCTTTGTATGGAGAATTTGGGGAAACCCTGTAGATAGCAGTGAAAAATAACTTGCTACTATCTGCAACTACACATATGAATCTCATAGATTCATCACAGATTCATGTTGAGCAAAAGAAGCCAAGCACAAAAGAGTTTACAGTACATCTGTAAAAATTCATTGAGCTGTGTACTTAAAATTGGCCCACTTCAGTGAAGAAAAATATATATGCATGTATATATGTATAGTGTTATAGTTCAAATATGAAAAATATGTTTTATAATAGGATATCACACTTCATACTTGAATTCATAAATTTTGAGTCAAGAGAAAATTATTCTGTGAAACTAATGTCATCTTTCAGTCTTTATAGATTGAACAATTTAGGATAGTATCTATTTTTTCATCTAACCTAATACTATCAGGAGAGAAAATTACATTGTTTTCTGATAAAGGCCAAGAATCTTTTCTCTACTTTTCATTTTGGTGCAAGGAACTAAAATTTAGAAGACCTGTTATATACAATTCTTACAGAATTTTAAACATGGATTTTTGATTTAACAAAAGCTAGTGAGGGAAGGTCATCTGGTGCTGAACTTAGGTTCATCAGTCACAATTCTTTTCTCTGAATTTACCTATAATACTTTATATGTAAATCATATCTTTGAAGACATATTTAAAACTTCTGTTTTATGAATAATAAATCACTTGGCATTTATGTTTCTATATTGCATAGAAAAGACACAATTTGGTATCACTTTTTCAGTTGTCATATAAGCTGTTTTATTTATTGAAAACCCTAAGAAATTAAGTCCTTAGATCTTAAAATATTTTCTAATTTAAAATTAATTATCTGAGGTCTGTTCACCTGAGCTATTTCCTAAATAATCAACATTTCAGCAACTATTTTTAAATAATAGAGTGAGAAGTAGTGAATTGATACATACAGAATGTCGAAGAGTAATAAATAAATTCTCTTATAGGCAGAGCTTCTAGACGCTGCTGCTGGCATTCATGTGCGATTCAGATTAGGTGGAGTAAGTATAGATGAATTCTTACTTAGTTAAAATCATAAACTGTTTTTGTAATTATATTACAGTGGTCCTTTGAACTTGTACATCTACAGGTTGAATTTCCCCCTCGTATATTCTATAAAATTTTTACTGACAGACATATTGAAGATCTGTGTGCTAATAGCCCTAGAGATTATACAAAACTTCCAGCAAAACATACATCTCATAATAAAAGTGATCATCTTCAAGAAGAGGATCATAGTGGCTGGTATCGTCGGAAAGAAAACAATGGCTGGAGGCCTATTTCTGATAGAGTAAGAAAAGATAAATATTAATAATTTTTTATCTTCTATATTTAGAAATTCATTTTATCTTTCTAAAAATTAATTTTAAAATTATTAAAAAAATAAATCCTAGTAATTTAATGGATAAAATTTACTTAAATACTCTGAGGTTACTAATAATGCTTCAAGGTACAACAATTTATCTTTTTCTACCTACATTTATTGTACTTTTCATAATTAGCTTTGAACCTATACCATCTTACATACTCTCTGGTACTCAGCAGATTATATATTCAGTACACAGATTGTAGAATTTGGGATGTTGCATATACTAAGTATGAAAAGTGATAATGATCAAGGTGTGAATTCATTCATGCATTAACAAACTTTATGGGATATCAGTCATATATCAGGCATTGTTTTAGATGCTGGGGATATGGTGGTAAAAAGGTCATAGTCTTTTTCTTCAAGTAGATTGCTTTTCAATTAGAAAAAGAGTTGAATAAACAGGGTATTTCAGTACAGTGTAGTAAATATGTTAAGTGGTTGAATAGGTACAAATATACAATGTTGTGGGGAAGTAGCAAACTCTCCTCGTTATCTAGTGTGTGTGTGGCAGGGTAGGGAGGCTGAATTGGAAGGGGAAAAATAGGCAGCCAGTTAGGAGAAAGTGTCATAAAGGAGAAACCACAAAAGTTTGTATTCTTGGAGGGTGCTACCACTCCTTGAGGGTTAGAGTCATCAAAACCCGATAGGACTAAGAATAGGTAAGATCTGTTCATGTGAGAAGATGAGACAGTCTCAGAATATGCCTATTTACTAATCCATACAACCAATTAAGTACCTCAGTACACCAGTGCTTTGTCAATCTTGTGGTTCTGAAAGCACAGTATACTAACTCACTCATCACTTAATTAGAAATACCTTGAAAGGGCCTATCCTTTCCTCTGTCTCTATCTTGACATATTCCTACCGAATGTACAGAAGTTCTTGTCTATAGCCAGATAATCTCACAATCAATATTTCAACATTTTGTATATTCCTTTTCATTTCTCAATAGTTTTGGTTATTTAGTGACCACGAAGAAATGGAAGACAAAAAAGAAATTGAATTTCATTTCTCTAAACTGAAAAGAAGGCAAGATTTGGAAAAGAAAAGAAAAATTAAAAAAATAGAATGGATGAAACAAATGTAAGTTGACTAAGTACTTAGACTTACTAAAGAAGTGTATAGTATTTTGGGAAAAAAATCCGTAAAACATACATTACTTGATTTTAAGAACTTATAAAGCCACTGTAATCATGATGTTGTATTGGCATAAAGATAGACATATATAGATCAATGGAACAGAACATAGTGTTGAGAAATAGATTCACATATACATTGTTAATTGATTTTCAACAAAGATGGCAAGGGAATTTAATTGGGGAAAAATAGTCTTTTTAACAAATTAGATATTTAAATGTCAAAAAATGGGCCAGGCACGGTGGCTCACGCCTGTAACCCTAGCACTCTGGGAGTGCGGGTGGATTGCTCGAGGTCAGGAGTTCAAAACCAGCCTGAGCAAGAGCAAGACCCCATCTCTACTATAAATAGAAAGAAATTAATTGGCCAACTAATATATATAGAAAAAATTAGCCGGGCATGGTGGTGCATGCCTGTAGTCCCAGCTACTCGGGAGGCTGAGGCAAGAGGATTGCTTGAGCCCAGGAGTTCGAGGTTGCTGTGAGCTAGGCTGACGCCATGTCACTCACTCTAGCCTGGCCAACAAAGCGAGACTCTGTCTCAAAATAAATAAATGTCAAAAAATGAACTGTGACTCCTATACCATAAGTAAAATTAACTCAAAAGAGGTCAGAGTTCTAAATATAAGAGCAAAAACCATAAAGCATCTAAAAGTAGCCAAAGAAGAAAATCTTAGTGACCTTTGTTCTTGTGAAGGTTTCTTACATGGGGCACAGAAGGCATGAACTATAAAAGAAGAATTTGTTAAATTTGACTTCATCAAAATTAAAAGCTTTTGTTCTTTGAATAGCCTGTTTCAGAAATAAAAATGCAAGCCATAAGGAGCTGGGTATAGTGGCTCACGCTTGTAATCCCAGCACTCTAGAAGGCTGAGGCAAGAGGATTGCTTAAGCTCAGGAGTTCAAGACCAGCCTAAGCAAGAGTGAGACCCTGTCTCTACTAAAAATAGAAAAATTAGCCAGCATCATGGGACTCTGTCTCAAAACTAAAAATAAAAAATGCAAGCTATAGAGAAGTATAAAACATTTGCAATATATATATAAGTGTCTTGAATCTAGAATATATTTTTTAAAACCTCTAAAAACAATCTAATTTAAAAATGGGCAAAAGTTTTGAACAATCACTCCACCAATGAAGATATACGGATAGTAAATTATCACTACTCAACTAATGAATCATTAGTTATTAGGGAAGCGAAAACTAAAACAATAATGAGATACCACTACATACTCACTAGAATGGTTAAAATAGTCGGGCATACCAACTGTTGGCAAGGATATGGAGCAAATAGAAATTGCTGCATTCAGTTTGAAAACAGTTTGGCAGTTTTTTTTTTATTTTTTAACAAGTTTTTTAAACAAGTTTTTTAACAAAATTTTTTTTTTTAACAAGTTAACACACCTCCTTTTTAACCCAGCCATTTCACCCCTAGGTATTTACCCAAGAGAAATAAAAACATGTCCATGGAAAGATTGTATATGAATATCCATAACAGGTTTATTTGTAATAGCTAAAATCCAGAAACAGTACACATTTCCATCAGCAGGTGAATTGATAAATAAATGGTAGTATATCTACACAAAGGAATACTTCTCAGCAATACAAAAGAATGAACTGTTGATACACACAACATGGATGAATCTCAAAATAATGATGCTGAATGAAAGAAATCAGACAAAAAAGAGTACATGCTGTATGACTCCATTTACATAAAATTCTAGAAGATACAAACAAATCTAGAGTGACACAAAGCAGATCAGTAGTTGTCTGGTGCTGGGAGGAAGGAGAGAGGGAAGGATTACTGGGGGTACAAGGAAACTTTGGGAGTGATGGATATATTCATGTTTTAATTGTAGTGATACATTCATAGGTATATACCTGTCAAAACTGCAAATTAGGCCGGGCGCGGTGGCTCACACCTGTAATCCTAGCACTCTGGGAGGCCGAGGCGGGTGGATTGCTCGAGGTCAGGAGTTCAAAACCAGCCTGAGCAAGAGTGAGACCTCGTCTCTACTAAAAATAGAAAGAAATTAATTGGCCAACTAATATATATAGAAAAAATTAGCTGGGCATAGTGGCGCATGCTGGTAGTCTCAGCTACTTGGGAGGCTGAGGCAGCAGGATTGCTTGAGCCCAGGAGTTCGAGGTTGCTGTGAGCTAGGCTGACGCCATGGCACTCACTCTAGCCTGGGCAACAAAGTGAGACCTTGTCTCAAAAAAAAAACCAAAACCAAAAAACAAAAAACAACCCTGCAAATTATATAATTTAAATATGTGTAGTTTATTGTACCTAAATTATGCCTCAATAAAGTTATAAAAAATTTTATAAAGAACGTTGTACACCTCCATGGTACCTTTGAAGTAGTCCTTTATCTCCTGTAGTTGCAGGGTGAATAGAGGGCATCCCAAGATTCAATTGCAAGGGTCACAGGATTATAGTGTCTACAGTACAAACAAATGCTGAACACTGTCAGGTCTTTTGCATGAAGACAAGGGCACTAATGGGAAAGTAGTAGAACCCTGAGAGCTGGGAAGAGGACATTTGGACAGACATAGACAAGGCTAAGAACCTTGAACCTCCAAATTCCCTTGTTGGTGGAGGGAACTCTTGTTCACCTTTTTGAGGGAAGCAGCCCTTCTCTGCATGAACGCCTTTCAGTGACTGCACACTAATTCACCATGGATCCGCACAGGAGGCTGGTCCAAAAATGGACTGTTACTAGATTACAGCCCCTCAACTGGTCTGAAAAATGGTCAAAGGATATCCTTCCATGGGCACAACTTCAGGTAGTACCCTTGGTTTTCCACTTCATTTAAAGGAGAAATAGCCTGAGGTGTGGATCTCATTGACTGTGGGCAGTAGCTAATAATTTCTCAGCTAGGTCAAGGAAGAGGTATATTCAGAAGGGTACAAAGAATATTTATGCCCTACGTGAATGCCCTCCAGAGAGTTCATATGAGGCAGACAACTCTCAGTAACAGATGGACAAGATGACGCATCCTGTGGATGTCAACCCTTGTTGCACCATGGAGCCACGTACAAAGTGGCCATGGTTACAGAGATCAAGATTACATTTAGGCTCAACAACATGGTCTTCCCCTCACCAAGGCAGTTCTGGTTGTAGTCACAGCTGACTATATAGCAAAGGCCATTGCTTTGCCTCCAGTGAGGAGATATGCTGGCTAGCTGGTGACAGGCTAATTATATTGGACATTTCCTGTAATAGAAGAGATACCCCTTCGTCCTCACAGTGATAGACCAATACTCCGGACATGAATTTTATTTCTCTGCCTGCATCACTTCTATCAGCAGCACCTTCAGTACAGAGTGTCTTATCCATCATCATTTTATTTCATACAACATTGTCTTTAGCCAGGGGACCCATTTACAGCGAAGGAAGTGTTTGTGGGCTCAGAACAATACAATTCACTTACCGTATGTGCCATCACTTAGGAACAGCTGGCTTTGATAGGATGGTGGTATGATTTGCTGAAGGTCAGTCACAGTAACAGTAGCCAACACCTGGTGATAAGCCAATGTACATGAATAATAATCTATTTTATTTCTTCTTTCTTTCCTCTGTTTACCCTCAAAACAACCTTCTTCATAAATGACTTCTGTATTTCTAATTATATTTGCATTTCTATCTCAAACTCAACAGATCCAAAACTGAATTTCTTCTCTTCTCCATCATAAAAGTTGTTTCTTCTCAGTATTCCTCCTGGTCTCAGTTTATGACACCATTATTGACCCAGTTATCCAAGCCAGAAATACAGAGGCTGACTTAGATTTCCCACTCTTGATAAGCTCCTACATGTAATCTGTCATCAGGTCCTATTAATTCTACTTCCAAAGTATCTCCCAAATCTGATATTTTCTTTCATTCTGTACTGCAATATTTCATCTATACTTCATCTGCTGGGTATATCTTCTAATTGGTGTCCTTGTCTTTAGTCTCTTCATTGTCTATGTATTAACACTGAACTGATATTTCTAAAGTACAAATCACTTCCCTACCTAAAACATGTTAAGGGTTTCCCAGTACCTACATCTCACATGAGACTCCCTCTCCCTAGGCTGCTCTTCTCTGGATGAGCTACATGGCAACAATATCTTCATCTTTTGACACTTGTCCCAATATCTCCCGCTGCAGCCTTCCCTAACCTATCTAGACACAGTTTGACACTTCCAGGTTCCCCATGGACTTTTTATGTACTCAGGTGTCATGTTTTTGCAGTTATCTGTGTATGTGCCACCTCCACTATACTTTGAACCCCTATGGAGCAGGGACTCCGTTCCATTTATTAGCATAGGACCTCAGATGTACTTGGTGCCTAATGAATATGTGTTGCTTGTAGAATGAATGAATAAATGAATGAGTGAATAAATAATAAATTCTATGACTGGGTGTTATATTTCTTTCATAGGGTTGCAGAGGATGAATGAGAAATTTTACTTTGTGTGCTTTGTTCACTGTGGCATTAAACACTCTTCATGCTGTTGCTGAGAATCAGCAATGAACAAAATCAACAAACTTTTGATTTCTTTTACCCCTCTCTTGCTAAAAGAATTCTGGTGTTTAATTCCCATTCCTTCATGTGTCCTGAAGATCTTAACTCTCCTAAACCTCCTTTGCAATTTAAGCTTTGATTCTTCCTAGGTCTTTGTATTTAATTTCTCTTCTTGTCATGAAATTCTGATAAACATTTCTCACCACGTTCTTTCCTCTTAAATTCCCTAGTTTAGAAAGAATATAATTTTAAGTGAATATAACTAAAAATATATTGCAATATTACTTATAAAGCCAAATTTTATAGTTTTTGTTTTCTTTTTTAAGGATCACTATTTATTTATTAAACAAGTCATGATTATAATGTGATCTTTATTTCTCATCACTATATTTGAAATTTGATTTCTACTTGCTAACCTATTTAGACCACTTAACTATAATAGTGACTAATTTTAAGAGTTTAAAATCTGAGAATTAAATTATTAGAACTTTTTTTTTTTTTTTGAGACAGAGTCTCACTCTGTTGCCCCAGGTAGAAAGCAATGGTATCATCATAGCTAACTGCAACCTCCAACTCCTAGGCTCAAGCAACCCTCCTACTTCAGCCTCTGAGTAGCTGAGACTACAGGTGCACCCCATGATATCTGGCTCATTTTTCTATTTTTAGTAGAGATGGGGCCTCTCTCTTGCTCAGGCTGGTCTCAAACTCCTGAGCTCAAGCAATCCTCCTGCCTTGGCCTCTCAGAGTGCTAGGATTACAGGCATAAGCCACTGCATCTGGCCTAGAACAATTATTATTACTCTCAAAAACAAAGTGCATTTTATACTTCCTTGATAAGACAAAAAAATAGATATCTGAATTATTGTATATCACTGTTGAAAAAGGAGAAAAGAATACCATCCATGTTTCAAAATCTAATCTCAAATGTTTGTGTATTTGGAAAGGAAAACATGGAGGAAATAATTAAAAATGCATTCACTCCCAGCCTTCCAGAAGTTTCTAATTTTAAATGCATTTTTGTTACAGCATGAGCATTAGCTCAATAAGTCGGGGCCAGTGGGTATTATCATTCATTTGATCATTCATTTACTTAATACATGTTTACTGAGTGCTCATTATCCATTTAAAGTCTGATCAAGCAGAAACTTCATGAAGGCAGGGATATATCTTCTCGCTGTTATATTCCTACCACCCAATATTGTGTAGCCTTCTTTTATTGAATGTTTACTATATGCAATTCACTGTTCTAAATGCTTTACATAGATTTACACTTCTAAAGCTCTTGAGAACACTAGGAGGAAGTAGTAATATGATGATAATTTTAAGGAAGCAGTCACTGAGGCCCAGAAAGCCTGGGTTATTTAGCAAAAATTATATGGCTAGTAAATCACAGAACCAAGATTCACACCCAGATAATTTGATACCGGAGTCCTGCTTTGTATCACCACTGTGCTGCTTCCTAATCAATAGGCATCGAATTAATAAATGAATACAATTTCAAAATAGGTTCATCTTTAAAATAGCTACCAGTGTAGATCTTAAAATGAATAACCCCCCAAAACACTATGTTTGATAAGGATTGCTAACTTCTCTTTACTCCTTCAGCTTATGTTTGGTGGACACATTATTTTATGTGCTCAGATTAATATAAGACAGTCTCCAGAAGGAGGCTGGACTTAATAGTCAGGTCTGAACATTGGCTCTGATATATATTTACTACCTACATGATGATCTGGAACAATTTTTAAACTTCTCTAAGTCTCAGTTTCTTTATAAAGAGGAATAAAGGGGGAAAAAATAGCTGCTACAAATGGCTGTGACTTTTTAAAGAGAATTAAACAAGATAATGTGTGAAAAGTACCTGGCAAAAATAAAATGTCAATATCTGTCATGCTCTCTTCCTCTTTTTCTTTCATTTTTCCACTTTTCTTCCCTATTCCTACCTGCTATTAGCCTCATGACTTTGTAAAAGTTACTCAAATCCTTCAGGATTTATTTTCTCACCTGTAAAATGAGTGGGTTAGTTATTGGTTTCTCAGATCCTTTCCATTCTACAATTCTATTAATATGATTCAGTGATTTAATGACTTAGATTTTCTTTATATCACAAAAATGTAACTTATCGAGGGATAATTTGAATTGAGGCCTCTCTGGTTAGTGTGGTTTGTTAAGCTGCTTTTACCCCCAAAATATCCCACCATAGATCTTGGTTTAAATGCATCTGAGTTATATAGGATGAAAACTTGATTCAGTGTATAAAATAGTTTTCATATGTAAGTAGCCACGATATACATCAACTGCATCTACTTGTAATCACCTATTCCAAAGGATTTATGTTTCTCTTCCTTTTCTCTATTTAGGTACTACACAGGACGCCTGGAGGCTAAGTCAACACAACTTGAAACTCTAGGTTTAATTCACACTGCAACGAAGGGGCTAATAAGAGCTATTGAAGATGGCGGGATAGATTCTGTGATGGAATGGGAAGTGGATGAAGTGCTGAACTGGACAAATACACTGAACTTTGATGAGTAAATATATGTTGCTATTCTTGGGGAACAAGGGCAGTCATCCTATATTTTTTCTTTCTAACATTTCCCATTCCTATGTTGCATGTCAGGGCCACAAACATAATCTTCCAAAAAAAAAAAAAACTGATTATTTATTATTCTTCCAGAAAGAAAAGAAGAAGAAATGGGGGATAAAAAAGGAATGATCCAAAATAGCAAACAGAAAATTAGACATAGCTATTTTTTATTTTCAGACTTTAAACTCATGCCTTAGTCTCTGCTTTGCTTCTTACTTTGGAATTTAGAAACAAGGCTAAGAGCATGAAATTAATAATAGAAACAATTTCCTCAGTCTACATTCCCTAATCTTTCTGTGTGAGACACTAAAAAGTTATAATTTTTCAATGATGTACTATGGCCCTTGAAAAACATTTTTGGGATATTTTGTATGGTAGAAATTTTAAAATATTTAATATAGCTATTAGAGAAATCTAAATCAAAACCATGAGATACCACTTCATATCTACTGGGATGGCTATAATTAAAAAGACAGATGATAAGTGTTGATGAGAAGGTAGAGAAATTAGAACCCTTATACATTGCTAGTGGGAATGTGCAATGGGGCAGTGACTTTGGAGAACAATCTGGCAGTTCTTCAAATGGTTAAACATAGATTTGCCATATGATCCAGCAATTCCACTCCTAGATATATACCCAAGAGAAATGAAAACATATGTTCACACAAAACTTGTGCATGAATATTTATAGCAACATAATTCACAATAATAAAAAAGTAGAAACAACCCACATGTCCATCAACTGATGAATGGATAAATAAAATGTGGTATGTCCATACAGTGGAAATATTATTCAGCAATATGAAGAAATGAAGTTCTGATACATGCTATAATATTAACAAACCTTCTAAGTGAAAGAAGCTAATCACAATGGAACATGTATTATATAATTCCATTTATATGAAATGTCAATAACAAGCAAATCTATAGAGACAGAAAAATTAATGGTTGCCTAGGGCTAGGGAATTAATTGGGGGGATTGGGTAGTGATGGCTATTGGGTGTGAAGTTTCTTTTTAGAGTAATGAAAATGATTGAAAATTGATTGTGGAAATGGATGCTCAACTATGAATATACTAAAAGCTATTGAATTATACACTTTTAATGGGTGAATTGTATATGAATTATATCTCAATAAAGCTGTTAAAAATGTTCAATATTTACTTGACTTCAATAAAGAATGTGGATAATGCATGGATGAAGAGGCAGAAAAAATTAAAATGAAGATGGTATAAGTAAAGTATGAAAATAGAAGAAATTAGCAAATGGGAGATAAGAAAATGGGATTGGAAAAACCAAGGTGATGGTCTTTGAATAATAGAACATGAAAATGAGAAGCCATAGGAAACAGAGAAGAGAATAATAATAAAAGGAAAGATAAAAGAAAGAAGAAAAAAGGGAAAGAAAGATAACAAAAGGAAAATAAAAAAACAAGAATAAAAGAAAAAAGAAGATATTGATGCAAAGGATATATTATAAAATAAAAAGGGAAAGATAAGAAATAAAGAACTAAGTATCCATAGTAGATGCTCTAAAATGTTTTTAAATAAAAAAAAATTCTATGATTCAATAACCCCAACATTTTGTCTAGACCACAGCATTGGAATTCCCCATAGACAGCACATCTGTGGTTTCTGGGACACTGAATAAATCCAGATGGTAATAATTATGCAAGAAATGACATCCAAAGAAAGGTGCTGTAATGCCTTGTCTTTAGTCCCTTCCTAAGAGTAAAAATTGCTAGATGGAGAGGGAGGGGCAAGGGAGAGAGAGGTAGAAGAGGTACATTTTGAATGAGCATCTGAGGACAGAATAGAGAATTCTCTCAACTACTGAAATCCTGCTCTGCCTTTGCCTTATACAGTTGGCTAATTCAAGCAAAGGGCTAGCAAGCTTCAGTGAAAGATTACAAAAAAATTTATACTTAATATTCTATATTCTATCATTACTGGAATACAAAAAGAATAAAACCATTAAGTTCAAAGGGAAGAACTAAATCGGCATGTCAGTCTATATAAGACTTTCCCATCTATCATTCCCTGATAGGATAATAGGTGGTGAAGAGTCTTAAGGGCTTCCCTTTGTGGAAAAACCAGAATAAACCAGTAAGACTTTAAGTGGTTTCTTCATATCATGTGCTCTATATGGAGTGGGATGAATATACCTAGCTTTGATGTGATAAGAGTAACTGAAAATTTCCATTTTTAAAATGCAGATACTTCATGTTTCCAGTTATGTACAACTTCTGTCAGTTCATTTTCTGAGTTGGGTATAATCATAATTTAGCACTAATGTGGGATCCTAGAAAGCAAGGTTTCCATTGAGACCCTGGGCAATGAAAATTTCAAATGAAATCTCAAGTGGTTATTTGGGTGTATTTCAGTAGCACTACTGACAACAAGCACTAATTATCTCAGGCAAGATCAAAGTTTGAAAGACCGTCCCCTAGCTGACCATAGACATTAGTTATAAGCACCCAGTGTATTTATGGTCTCCTCAGTCTACTTTTCTGTTGTCTTTGTAGCCCTGTAGATATTTGAAACTGGGTTGACAATGCCTTGTCTGATAAGAATTTCATAGTCTGACATTTTTCCCTTCTGTAGAATTGGTAGCCACTAATTCATTGGAGAGTATCCTTTAAAGCCTATGGACAGTTTTCTACTGTTGGACAGATAGAATGGCATAAATGCCTCAAACACTGATATTTACTGATAAAAATCAGTTTCCTCCCATAGGCTTTTGTGCTAGACCCTTGTTATGATAGATAGATGCTCTCCTGGGATGAAGCCATGTGCATCTTCAGGTATATATCGTAACTATCAACTGAATACATTATTTTAATCATTTTGAAGAATGGATGGAGCCATTCAGTCTTGGATTTGAGGACACTAATAAGTACTATTGTAAATTCCTGTATCCAGAGATATGTTGCTGCATATGTTTAGAATGTAAAACAATCCCCACAACACCATCGCTGAGTTACCCACAATGCCACATGATGGCTACCATGACTGTTGCTGGCATCCATCCTAAGGGATATTTATTCAGATGTTCATTCTCCAGGATCATCAGAGTTTTCAAATATTAAGTGAATTTTAATATATGTATTATGCAGTTAGCAGCTAGGAAATCTTAAATAATTTCCTGATACTCTATATAACTTTGTTGGTGAGAACTCTATGCTTATGTACATTATGGATAGTTTCTATATGTGAAGCTGCCCCTTTGATTTCCTAAGGCATGTAGTTAATATGGCCTTTCTGGCTAAGGACTTTTCCTGGCCTATTAAATCATTTCTACTCCTGAAGGGATTCATTGTAGATTACACACACACATTATTCTGTGATTATTATCTAAAAAATTCCAAAATTTTCTTAGAAAGATAGATCAGCTCTATGATATAAACAATGTGGTAATGCTATCATCGGAATTTTCCTTCTATTTGTAAAACTTACATTTTTTATCAGTTATTGATGGTATGTTTTTATGAGTTTTTGAATAATAGAATAAATTCATGTCCTAATCTTAGATAAAGCAGGAACAGTGTTGGACCTTAAATATGGCATATGTTTGTGCCCCAGATTGTCAGGGCTTAGCATACTATCCATCAGAGCCCTTTAACTTGGTTCCTTGAGGGTAAAATGAAAACCTGCCAGTATGTAAATCCAAGGATGCAAGGTGGTTGACATCTGACTCTTAATAGTGCTCCTGAGCAACCAACTATTCCCTGTGAGAGTTTTATGTCCATACTTTTAATTTAGAAGTTATTAACTAACATCTTAGTAAACACTCAAGTGAGGACATGATCTTGCTGGAATGAAACAAGATAAAATGAGATATGCTAGAGGAAGATGAAAGGACACTAATATGGTAGATGGTGGGTACCATTTTTATACATGCCTCAACTCCTTGTCCTGAAGGTTGTTAGCTGCATGTGAGTGGGAAAGTCATGAGAATTAAACATCAAGACTAGTGAACTTGTTACCATTAGTCTAAGATTTCTCAGAAAAGATGAAATTTTAGTAGTCTAAGCATGTACTAATGAATAAACTCATTACTTATTAATGAATCAATTTAATTTAATGAATGCCCATATAATGTGCTTAGGTATATTGCCAATTGGAAGGAAATTGCTACAAGCAAGTCTTCAGCTAATTTTGAAGGTAGGTGATTTTTAGCAATACTTTATGGGAAATTCTCATGAACAAAAATGATACATTCCACATATTTCTAAGCATCTAACATTTAAATGTCCTGCACACTATCTATATTCACATGAAATTTCCAAGTCATTTTTTACATTTATATATAGGATTGTTATTTGGAAATGGAAGGAAATTTTCTATTTTATTTAGGGTTGAATAAAGTGGTTTTAAAAATATGAATCCTTTTAAAAAGTTAAATATCTTATGGTTTTGGTAATCATTTTTAGTGAGCAAACTTCACTTGGCAAAATAAATGCCTCAAAATGTTGAAAATATATTTTAGGTTCTATGCCACTATTGTCCTGCCAGTGGCCAGCAATACTGAAAAGCTGAAAGTGATAGCCAACATATAGAAGAAGAGTATCATTAGACCCCAGAAATGCCAGTAATTCTAACATAGCCAAAGCCTAACATTGGTTATTGCACGATCTGACTGTGTGACCTCTATCCTGCTAGCAGATATGAGAAGCAGTAAAGCAGAGAGGTCAGGATTATGCGGTCTTGATTCAGATTGCTGGGTTTTATTTTTGGTTCCACTGTTTACTGGCTGCGTGATCTGGCAAGTTACTAGCTCAGTTTTCTCATCAGTAAAATAAGAATAACAGTAGCACCTGGTTCATAGGTTGTGGGGTAATAAGAGATAATACATGTAAAGAGCTTAGAATAGTGTCTGGGACAGTATGCATATTCCATAAATATGATCTATCATTAGCATTAACCTATCCACTTATTTCCAACTTACTGCCACCCCAGTTGCCTTCACCCTTTTGCAGGCTTCTGCAATAGCCTTCAAACTGATGCTCCTCCAGTCTATTCTTCGCACCACAGAGTGATCTTTTATTAAGTTAAATCAGCACAATTGAACCATTTATATTAATTAACAAATTCTAGCAATTTCAATGTGGAAGTGCTGTCTTAAAGTACTTTATAAAATTTAACTCATTTGATTTTCAAAACAACCCAATGAGACAGGTTCTATTATCTGCATGTTACAGATGAACAGACAGACAAAGAGATGCAGTTCTTGCTCAAGGTTGCACAATGGGTTCCTGTGAGGGCCAGCATTTGAATTGAGGCAGGCTAGCTCAGAACCCATGCTCTTAACCACAACTACACTCTGCTGCTTCTCATAGCTTTCCCTCGCACTTGGCCTTCTGCTTCTGGCTGTGGCCTGAGTTTCCACTCTTACACATCCCACTCTCCCCGCCTCACTCACAGTACATGTCACTGGGCTTGTGCCTATTCCTCAAACACACCATGCAGTTTCCCATTTCAGAGAGACTAATGGAGTTGATGGCCTTATAGAGAACAGTTTCAGGTAACTCTTCACTGAGGGCAGGAAGCTGTCTGTTTTGTTTGCTACTGAATCCCCAGTGTGTAGCATGTAGTAGGTTCTCAATGGCAGATCAAAAAATATAAATAATGACAGGTACAAATAGTGGAAACAGAATATATGTTACTGAGTTAAAAGATTACTGTGAAAAGAAAGAAAGAGACAGAATGGTAGTTGGAAGGAGCATAAGAGCAAGTGAAAACTATTTTAAGTAGTGGAGATCTGCATAACTGAAGCCAGTGAAGGAGATACATCGAAGATGTTGGCATTGGAGAAGAGGAGAATGTGTGTCACTTCTTTAAGAAGGAAGACAAAATCAAATCCAGAACAGATTTAGAAACTTCAGCTCTAGAGAGGGAAAAGGCGTCTCTTCCTTGTGAATAAAAAACTGTTAGCTGATAGTTAATTATAGAGTGCTGAGTGCCAAACACTATGACAAGTGTTTTCATTTACCATCTCATTTAATTCTCACATGAATATGATTGAGCAGGTGCCATTATTATCCCCATTGTACAGATAAGAACACCAAGACTTAGGTTAAATAACTTGTCCCAAATCACACAACTAGTTAGTAGTAGATTAAACCTCAAACCCATGTCCTGCAGAGCCTTTTATGGAGGTGGATCATAAGAATGAAAATAGGACGCAGAAATTTGGGGCATTTATGGTTTCAGATATCTGCTCTAAGGGTGGTAAAAATGAATGTGGAATAGACCTTACCTGGAACACAGCAGCATTTTGAATGAACCTGTATCTTATCACATCTGGCAGCTTTCTAATCCTTTGTCATTTCTCTTTAGGATTCAGGTTTACGCAAGCACAGAGAAATAGATATGACTATGAAGACATATCACAGAGGCAAATGGGGACAGCAGATAATACTTACCTTGAAAATCATTATAAAAAACCATCTTTAACTAGATTAACGCCTGATTCTACTTATGGAATATAAAGTATTTTCTTTTGTGCACTATAGCCCTTTTAAGCCCTGCATCCATCAGTTTTAGCCAAGAGATAGCATATTCTGACTGGGATAAATTGTATATATATTCTGGGCACAGAAAGTAGCCCAGTTAATTAAACAAGATTGAACAGAAATAGAACTTTGGAATGAATACAATAGTCATGGAAAAGATAGAAATTATTCCTGGTATTCTGAGAAACTAATATTCTAACAACCACATTTAAATAAAGATACTATATTTAGGAGCAAAAAACTTCAGATTATTTTTCTTCTTTATTTGAGGCATTTAGTGCATTTGTGTAAGGTAGAGCTCTTTGTCCATTTATCACATATCCAAATATGCCTTGCTTCCTTCTTCCCTCCCCCTCTTGACCTTATCTTTTCATTTCTCCATTTTTCTCCACTATACGTTTTTGGGGGGTGGGGTGGGGATAGGGTGTCACTCTGTCACCCAGGCTGGAATGCACAGGCCCAGTCATATAGCTCATTGCAGCCTGGAACTCCTGGCCTCACATGATCTTCCTGCCTTAGTCTCCCATATTTTATATGTATTTGTCATCAACAACACAAATTTTATGCTCCAAAAGAAATACATTGATCAATCAAAAATGATTACATTTCATTTTCTTTTAAAGACAGATCAACTAAATTGATGAAAGAACTGGCTTTTCATGATTATCTCATTTTCAAATTACTGATACAGATTTATCAGAGAATTATATATTTTACCTAACATCAAATAATCCACAAAAAGTTGCTAAGATAGATGCAATTCTTGTTCAATTTCCAAAAATAAATAGAGGCTTTCTAATTGAAAGGCATTTACATTCCTAGCTCTCTAAAGTAAACATTAAAAAAAGAAAATACAAAAAGTAATCTCTTGGCTTTTGAATACTCCACTTAGTTACATAAAGTATTTTCTGTTCCAACATTTTCTTAAATTCAAAAGATATTTACTTCCTAACAACATGACAAACAATCTTCATTTCAAACTATTCAGTCTGCTTCCATGGTAACACCGCAGGATTCCTTGGCCACCATAAGTCCTATTAGTTGACTGTGGAATTTCTCAATCCTATGCATTAAACAAACCAAATCATCTCTTTCTTTAATACACAAACTCCCATCTGAACGCCTACATTTGAGAGCCACACGTGCCTTCATGGGGTCAGTGAGGTAGAGTTTCTCAGCAGCGCAGCTGAACTACTCCTAGGTCTGGTACTGTGGCATTGTGGCCCAGGGTGGAACAAGGGAGAGGCAAGACCACACATCCAGGCCCATATACCTACCTGCCCACCTCCTGAGGCTGCCAACTGATGCAGTGATCTCAGCACCTCCTTCTGTGTATATTTCTTTGGCATTTCAAAACAAAACTTTCCAAATGATACCCAAGAGCACTCAGTCCATACTACTGTAACAGCTGACATCATGCAGAGGTAAAGCTCAAGGAGTTCACTATACTTAAAAACAAAGCAAACAAAACTGGAATGCAACATGAAGGTGACTCAGAAACAGAGGACTCATATTCAGGGTGGGCAGCACAGAACTCAAGAGTATTCTTCCTTTCAGGAGGAAATTTAGCTTATGGGAAATCCTTATAACCAGAATAGATATTAAAGTGAACATTGTACCCAACTTTATTATTCAGGGAATAAAACTGATTTACTAAAAGTATCTTGCTAATGAATGTTTTCTTTGCACTGAAATAGGTAGTTGCAGAGATGTCCTCTCAAGTCATTAAAACATAACCAGGTAGGAAATATGAGTTAAATACCTACTACCAGAATTTAGATTAGGATACATTATATGCTTAGAATTCTTGTTCAACAGAAAAAATATGCAGTTGGTTCAAAGACACATTAATTAGTTCCTTTTAATTCAATGTCATGTCATGAAAAGCAGAAAAGCACAAAGAGTATAATTTCTTATATCCAATGTTTTTAGTAGACTTTTTTTAATACCAGAAAGTATCAAGTGATAGACTCCTTTTTAAAAGCAAAATTATCTTTATTTCTATAAACTTTAGAGAGAAATTAACATCAGTGTATGTATACATTGTCAAAATATAATGAGTGCTATTTATGACAGAGGAGTTACAGTCTTCACTGCCCAGTTAAAGCAAAAAGTTGATTTTTTCTGGACTAGGGTAGTATATATTTTTCTGAATCCCTTTGAAATGGTGACTAAATTTACACAGAGGGAACCTCAATGAATTCCGAAAGGCAAAGATGCAGCAGTCATGAGCATCCAGTCATAATTAATAAGTTTATGTGACCTGAAAAGCACTGATGTCTTGGTATGTGTCTGGGGTCAACTGGGTACTCTGGTCAGAATGGTCCAATGTTAGAAAAGAGAATCTCATACAATCAATTAAAGTGAGCTGATAGTTCTTTTGATATAAGAATGTTGACTACATCTCATTCTAGGATCACCATGAAAATATAATGCTCATTCTCATCAATTTAGATGAATCATTTTAATGTAGATTTGAATTCTCTTTTAATCCTATTTGTGCCTTTTTTTTCTTAATATGAGTCTTGGTTACTACATTTTAGAAAACAAAAAAGAAAATGAAGACTTTCTATCTAAAACATGACTTGTTTAATAAATAAGATTAGAGAAAATAGAAAAAAATGCTTTTTCTAAAATGACTGATCATCACCTCTGACTAAAAGCTCCGAGTTCCAATTCAACATTATAATCTATCAAATTTCCAATATTAGCCAGAGATTTGGCTCATTAACTAGAATAATTCTACAATGGGCAATATTGCTCTGGTGGGATTATTATCTCTGCAGAATGGCATTTTATTTAACAGACACCATGGACTTTATAATATCCATTATCAGTGCCTGAAAACCAAACAACTTTAAAAGTTAGCAGCAGTTTCTGCAAGTATAAAAGTACATATTTATAACACATGGTAGTAAACGTTGTCAAGATATATTATACAAACTGAAGGCATTTTAAATAAAGCAATCTCCGGGGGGGGGTGGATGAGAAAAACTGCCAGCCAGAGTGTCTCTGCAAAAAAGACGGATTTTAGAAGAAAGTAGAAGAAATAAGCAAGCAGACAAGCATACATCAGACGAGGGTCGGAAGGAGGGGTACCTGAGACTACAGGAGACTCCACAGGAGGAGGTTATGGAGAACTGGAAGAAGAGAGCTCCCGAGAAGCTTGGAGTCAAGCGGCAAGGGTAGGTGGAGCAGGTAACTTTCTTCTCCCTTGCATCTCAGACTGCTGGTGGGCTCCCCAGCAGTTGGAGAGACCTGCGGACACCAGCCCAGAGACGGCCACTGCCAGTGAGCAGTAAGCCTGTAGCGGACGTGGCACCAGGCTCCCAACTCCCTTGGGGTACCTCCCTGTGCACAGTCCCGAGCACTCAGCAGGCACCATATTGCTACAATCTTACCTCCCTCTTTCCTATCTGTGGCTGCTGAGAGAGACAATATACCCTCCAGCCGGAGGCATCTCCAGGGAATGGGACTTTTCCTTTTGGGGCCCTACAGCTGACTGAGGGGTACTCAGATGGTGAGCTCCCTACCTGCCAGCCCTCCCAGGTGCTGCTGGCCTGGTGACTCCAGGAAAACAGGGAAGATCCTGAGGCTGAGAGACATTGACCCAGCTTCAGCACCCTGTGGGTGAATTAGGACCAGCACTCCTCTCCCTGGTGGGGTCAGGGATTGAATTCCAGGGCCCAGAGGTCAGAGCTGCAGACCAGATCCCATGTACTCAGGTCTCGCATTGCCCCAGGGCACAGAAGGGATATTTGTGAAGGAGCCTACTAAGGTGTGTGTGCCTTCGGGGTGGATCAGTGTGCTTGAGGGCAACCCTCCTCCCACGGGAGGGCCGTGTGCCCAGCCAAGGCTGTGATCCTGCGCAGGGAGCCTCCAGGCCCACATCACAGCCAGGAGAGAGATGCTTGCGTGAGGTCCTGCCTGCTGGCAGAGGCCCAGGAGAAGCTGTGGAGTTGGGAGGTTGGAAAGGAGAGAGGCCTGCTCCAGACTGCAGGTCTCAGACAGCCCAGCCCACACACACAGACTTTACGGCTGAGCAGGGCCATTCCAGCCCCTCTCTGACAGCTATGCCCAGAAGCAGAGAACAGATCTTTGACCCCTGCTAACAGCATGTGTGATGCTTGAGGGCAGGCTTACCTAACCCAGCTCTGCGCAGACTCACTCCCAGACCAGCCCTCACTGAGGTGGAGAATAAGGATACACTTGGAAGTCCCAGGGCCCCACCCACCACCTAAGGCACTGGAGTGCCTCTCCAGAGGAACAAGAGCTGCTTACAGGACCCAAAACAACACTGCAGTCTGCTGCTCCCAGCAAGCACCACCTACTGACAGGGAGGTCATTCTGTACACACTGTTACTGCATCTACTGACATCATACAGGATGTGGTCAAATCTTACCCACAAATACCACAAACTAGCACAGAGACTAAATAAGGTGCGTCATTATCCAAATGAAAATCTAAAGGTAAGAAGCAACAACTGATCCTGATGGGACAAAATCAGCAAAAGAACTCTGGAAGTATGAACACTCAAATGGAAAGCACACTCCCAAAGAGGAGCACCAGCCCTTTAGAAATAGACATCAACCAAAATCAAAACACTAAAGTGACAGAAGAATAATTTTGAACATGGATTGTAAGAAAATTCAATGACTTGCAAGAAAAAATGGATAACCAACACAAACCACAAAAAAATCGAGGACCTGGAAGAAAAAGGTCACTAAAGAAATTGAAATACTAAAGAAAAATCAAACTGAACTCCTGGAAATGAAGAATTTATTCAGGGAACTACAAAACACAGTGGAAAGCCTCAAGAACAGGGTAGATTAAACAGAAGAAAGAATCTCAGAGATTGAAGATAACACCTTCCAATTGTATAAGCCAGTCACAGAGATAGAGCAGAGAAGTAAGAGGAATGAGCAAAGCCTACAAGAAATGTGGGATTATGTGAAAAAACCTAATGTGAGGGTTATAGAGATTCCAGAAGGGGAAGAAGAAAACACACAAGGGTTGGATAAGTTATTTGAAGATATAAGAGGAAAATTTCCCAGGCCTTGCTGAAAATCTAGATATCCAAGTACTAGAAGCTCAAAGGACCCCTGGGAGATTCAAGGCAACTAGGAAGACACCACGACATGCAGTCATCAGACTGACCAAAATATCAACTAAGGAGGCCCTTCGACGAGCTGTAAGGTGAAAGAAGCAAGTAACACACAAAAGAAAGCCAATCCGAATAACGCCAAACCTCTCTACTGAAACCTTACAAGCAAGGAGAGACTACTGGGACCCTATTCTCATTCTTCTGACAGAATAATGCCCAGCCTAGAATCTTGTACCCTGCAAAACTAAGTTTTCTATACGAAGGAGAAATAAAGACATTCTCAGATAAGCAAAGACTGAGGGAATTCACCAAGACAAGACCAGCCCTCCAAGAAGTACTCAAAACAGTGTTACCCATAGATCAGCACAATAAACACCCATGAATGTAAATCCACTCAAAAGCTAAAGATCAAAGGCCAGATACCACAATGGCTCAAGAGAGAAAACAAAGCAACAAAGTTCAACCCATCAGAATGAACAGAAATCTGCCTCACCTATCAGTTATCTCAATAAATGTGAATGGCTTGAACTCCCCACTCAAGAGACATAGGCTGGCTGAATGGATAAAGAAATACAAGCCAAAACAAGCCTTCAAGAAACACATCTAACCTGCAAGGATGCATTTAGACTAAAGGTAAAGGGGTAGAGAACAGTATTTCAAGCAAATAGAAGCCAAAAGAAGGCTGGAGTGGTGGTTTTGATTTCAGATAACTTAGTTTTTAAATCAACAAAAGTAATAAAAGACAAAGAAGGTCACTATATAATGGTGAAGGGTACAGTTCAACAAGAAGACATAACAATTCTAAATATGTATGCACTCAACTTAGATGCACCTAGATTCATAAAGCAAATTCTACTTGATCTAAACAACTGGATAAACAACAACACCATAATAGTTGGAGACTTTAACACCCCACTGACAGCACAGGACAGATCCTCCAAACAGAAAATCAACAAAGAAATAATGGACTTAAACAGAACCCTAGAACCTGGGCCTGACTGACATTTACAGGACATTCTACCCAAAAACCACTGAATATACATTCTTTTCATCAGCTCATGGGACATTCTCTAAGATTGACCATATCCTAGGACACAAAGCATGTCTCAAAAAATTTTTAAAAGTAGAAATTATACCATGTATCTTTTTGGATCACAGTGGAATAAAAGTAGAAATCAACACTAACAGGAACTCTCATTTCTACACAAAGTCGTGGAAACTAAACAACCTTCTGCTGAATGATCACTTCATAAACAAGGAAATCAAGATGAAAATGAAAAGACTCTTTGAACTAAATGACAAAGGAGGCACAAGTTATCAAAACCTGTGGGACACAGCTAAAGCAGTTCTGACAGGAAAGTTTATTTCCATAAATGCCTATATCCAAAAGTCAAAAAGATGACAAATAGACAACCTAATGAATCGACTCAAACAGCAGGAAAAAGAAGAACAGACCGACCCCAAACCCAGCAGAAGAAGTGAAATCATTAAGATCAAATCAGACCTAAATGAAATTGACAACAAGGAAACCATATGGAAGATCAATAAAACAAAAAGTTGGTTCTTTGAAAAAATAAACAAAATTGACACACCTTTGGTGTGACTAACGAAAAGCAGAAAAGAAAAATCTCTAATAAGCTCCATCAGAAACAATAAAGGAGAAATTACAATGGATGCCATTGAGATACAAGATATAATTTATGAATACTACAAAAACCTCTATGCACCCAAACTGGAAAATGTGGAGGAAATGGACAATTTCTTAGAAACGCACAGCCTCCCTAGGCTCAACCAGGAAGAAATAGGATTCCTAAACAAACCAATATCAAGTACTGAAATTGAAATGGCAATAAAAAACCTTCCTAAAAAGTCCTGGACCAGATGGTTTCACACCTGAATTTTACCACATGTACAGAGAAGATCTGGTGCCTATCCTGCAGAAATTATTCCACAACATCAAGAAGGATAGAATTCTCCCCAACACATTCTATGAAGCCAAAATAACCCTGATACCAAAATCAGGAAAAGATGCAACAAAAAAAGAAAACTACAGACCAATATTATCCCTTATGAATATAGATCCAAAAATTCTCAACAATATTCTAGCTAATCAAATCCAGGTCTTTATCAAGAAAATAATCCACCACAACCAAGTGGGCTTCATTCTAGAGATGTAGGGATGGTTCAACATATCCAAATCTATAAATGTAATTCACCACATAAACATAAGCAAAAACAAAGACCATATGATCCTCTCAGTAGATGCAGAAAAAGCATTTGACAAAATTCAACCCCCTCTTATCATAAGAACACTTAACAAAATAGGCATAGATGGGGCTTACCTAAAAATGATACAAGCCATATATGACAAACCCACAGCCAACATTATACTGAATGGGGAAAAATTGAAAGCATTCCCACTTGGAACTGGAACAAGGCAAGGTTGCCTGCTATCTCCACTTCTATTCAACATAGTGCTGGAAGTCCTTGCTATAGCAATTAGACAAGAGAGCGGAATTAAGGGCATCCAAATGGGAGCAGAAGAGATCAAACTGTCAGTCTTTGCTGATGATATGATATTATACCTAGAAAACCCCAAGGATTCAAACAAGAGACTCCCTGAATTGATAAATGAATTCAGTAAAGTTTCAGGATTCAAAACCAATACACACATATCAGAGGCATTCACATACGCCAACAATGGTCAAAGTGAGAACCAAATCAAAGACCCAATTCCCTTCAAAATAGCAACTAAGAAAATAAAATACCTAGGAATACATTTAACTAAGGAGGTAAAAGACCTCTACAGGGAGAACTATGAAACACTGAAGAAGGAAATAGCAGAGGACATAAACAGGTGAAAGACCATACCATGCTTGTGGGTTGGCAGAATCAACATTGTTAAAATGTCT